GGAAGCATCCTGGGATAGTGTAGATTCTAATTTGTTCAATTCATGACCCCTGGGGATAGGGTGTGGCCACAATAGAGAATCCTAATTTTAGATTGAAATATATAGAAAAAAAATCTTTAAAAATTTTTTTTTCAAGAACCAGTGGGTCAGAAAAGCTGAAACTTATGTGGATGCATCCTGGGGTAGTCTAGATTCTAAATTGTTCAAATCATGATCCCAGGGGGTAGGGTTGGGCCACATTGGGGAATCTTAGTTTTACATTGAAATATAGGAAAAAATCTTTAAAATTCTCCACCTCAAGAACCGCTGGGCCAGAAAAGCTGAAACTTATGTGGAAGGTGGTGTTGATTCTAAATTGTTCAAATCATGACCCTTGGGGGTAGGATGTGGCCTTAATAGGTATTACAAGGGGGAAAGTCTGGTGAAGAACAGCAGGGACAAAGTTACTCAGGTGAGCATTGTGGCCCATGGGCCTCTTGTTATTAGTTTTATGTGGACCAGTATATTTTATGATTGACTGGCTGATATCAGATGATATAGAAGTTAAATGCAACTTTCTTTTGCATGCAGCATACTTTCCATTTATTTTTACATTAAAGCATACATCATATCAATTATGTGTTAAGTTTCTAGTGACCAGTTTATCAGTATTATACATGTACTTAACATGTAATTGATTGATTAGTACATGTATGTAAATTTATTCATCAGGAAATCTATTAAATAGTTGGAATTGATTTTTAGAAATACATACTTGTCTTCCAGGACCAGACAGAGAGAAATCGGCTGAGCTTATATTGGAAACATCTGTCGGCCATTATCTTTGGATCGATCTGTCTCTTTGTCTTTGACATGTGTGAAAGGTATTAACAGATTGGAAATGATTGGGTCAAAGTGTATTTAAATGAATAGACTCTTATAGAACCTCTACATTTAGAGAGGTTTTGTGTTATTTATTATACAGTTTAAGTATATCATTGAGGGAGCAAGATTCCAGTTCCCCAAGAGAAAGCCTATTTCCTGAGGCAAAGCCAAGGGAAATACATGTGTAGGCTTGCTTGAGGGGAACTGGAATCTTGCTGACTCCCTCAATGATACCCTTTAACTGTTTTATTGTACCAAACCAATATAAAAATTAGACCAGATACCTCACTCTGTTTTATATGCGGTGCAATTATAAGTTGTGCAATGGAAATATCGGTTACCCAGAATGTAGGTAAAGGAATGAAGTCAAAAGAAAGGCATTGCATTTGAATAGATGGTCAATAGAATACATGAATCTGCAAGCAATATTATGCTTATAAGCCCTGACTCCTTATATGTAACTTTAACTGGGCAGCATTATGAATATTCATGATTTTATTTGGAACTTTTTAAAGAATTGCGAGGTATTTCGAATAAGTTCATCAAACTGATGCACCTTTTCGCAAGGAATCAATTTTTTTTACAGTGATTTTAAGGGAATCAGAAAAATATATCAATTTACTCTTGTTTAGTGAGCAATCAATAGAGATATAATAATGCATAATGAATTGATGAATATACTTATATGCTAAAGTACACGTAGATAGTAAAGTTATATTTTTGCTGTTTAATTAGGTATGTGATATTGTTGGTAAAATTTTTATCTTTTTTTTTCTAGGGGAATCCAGCTGAAGAATCCATTTTTCAGCATATGGGTGACCAGTGCTGGGACCAAATTAGCTGTATCCTTTATATACAAGAAATATAGACTGTATAGGCTAGAAAACAAAAGAAATTTACACATTTGGGGAGGGGGGGTCACGGGTGAGGATATGTTACTGACAGTATGTTGTCTTGAAAGGCTGTATGGACAGTTTATTTTAATTAATTCATTGAAGGAATTAAGAAAAGTCAAAGGCATGTTTATGTACACATAGTTCATATTTCTTATGTATGTAAAGTAACAGGTCGAGAAAGTTTTATTTACAAGCATTTAATTGTAGTTGTGAAAAAACAAAAGTGACTTAGAATAACTGGACATTTTTCTTGTTTTTCCTAAATGTTCTGTAGCTTGCCTTCATCATCTTGGCAGGAATTGCAGCAGGATGCTACTTTCTGTTTCTGTGTTACATGATTTTCTGTGTGATGAAGAATATCAGTGCAAAGAAGGCCTCATTGCCAAGCATGAGTCAGCTACGCCGTAAATTCTACTTGGTGAGAGCAAGTGACATAAAATGTTAAATGAAATTGTTAGAATAATGGAACTTGATTTTATGACCACAACAAAGAGTTTTTTTATCTACAAGTACATATCCATTTGTTAGGAAAAAAATGGGGACTCATTTTTTTTCTTGTACATTTGGAGCTACATGTATTTGTTTTATGTTCCAAAAGTTAAACAGTGAAAATTTGAAATCCAATATCACTTGACTTTAGACTGTTGAGTAAAGGAATGATTTTTGACATCCCTTTTTACTTAATGCAAATTTCCTGTCTTGGGTAATGAAATGCATTACATGTACATGTATTATGAATTTTAAAAAAACATATTTGTATGTAAATGTAGCAAATAAAAAAAATGAGCAAATCAAATTTTATCTTTATAGGGAATTATTTACCGATTTCGCTTCCTAATGCTGGCAACTCTGGTTTGTGCTGCCTTCACTGTCATCTTTTTCATCATCTCCCAACTGAATGAGGGGGAGTGGAGATGGGGAGATCATGAACTGAGTATGGAATATACCAGTGCATTTTTCACAGGCAAGTCACTTATCAATACTTTTATATGGTAGCATTGTAATAGCTTAGCTTATCACATTGAATTGTGAATCTTGTGGTTATTTCCAATAACGAAGCACTTGTTTTTCATTGTATGCTTGCTAGTGACAATATTTCATTAGATTTCAAATATTTTGATGGCAAAGCTAGGAAAGATTAATTACATGTACATGTATTGTGTATACTATATTAACTTACAGTAAAAAAAAGGGGGGAGGGGGCCTTACAATGAGATTTTCCATTTCAAGCTTTTGGCTTTTATAAAAGTTGTAGGTTTGAGTTTTATTTCTCAATGAACAAAATAATTTATAGGATGAATCTTACATTATGTTCTATTGATTTTGGAATACAACATGTGCTGCATTCGTGTTAGCTTTAGAAGGATTTACTTAATGATACATTAAAGTTTGGTTTAAATATATACATACACATTTATTGTTGCAATTTTCAATAAACAAGTGCTATTTTACTTTGTACAGGGGTGTATGGTATGTGGAACGTCTATGTGTGTGGACTGCTGTCTCTGTATGCACCATCTCATAAAACTGTTGTAGAAATCGGTGAGTTCATTTGGTCGTCATATGCTAAAATAATTTCCATCTTTGGAAAATGGGATTAAATGAAAAAAAGATTCGTTTCTTTTTACATGCAAGTTGAAGAGAAATAATTTAGTCTTAAAAGACGACTGTTATTTACCATTTTCTCAAAGGACTTGGAGAACAGAAAATTCAATAATTTCATAAGAGAAGCATCAAAATAGGAACGTCTCTCAGAGAAGGACATTTGTAGGCCAAAACATTCAAAATGAGATTTAAAAATATTTTATACATGTAGTAATATATCTTTACCTGAAATGTTTTATCTATAAACATATCTGTTTACAGACTCGGCCGATGGCTCAACTGAAGAAAACGTTCAGCTGACCCAGTTACCAACCACGCCCTCCGAAACATCTGCTCTGCAAGCTCTGACATCCAAGGCTGCTCAGGATTAGTGTTAATTCTAGCTAGCCATTGTCAGAATATTAAATGGAAAACAGTTAAAGATGGACTAGCCATTGTCAGAATATTAAATGGAAAACAGTTAAAGGTGGACTTTTATCTTATCTGTAGCTTTGTATTTACAAACAGGACAGTACGGGGTATCATTTGTATTTATGAAAAAGAACAATATAGGTATAGAATCTCAATACGATTTTGGTATGCTGAATCCCTAAAAACAATTACGATTAAAAGGTTCCAGTGAATAATTAAACGGTAATTTTTTGATGTTCTTCCTTGATATGGATCTACATCTGACCTTGGACAAACTTATATACAGAGAGAATTATCAGCAATATTTATTTATTTTTGTGATAGAAATGTGTTCTTGTACTTAATTTTACAGATCTGACTTGCATTATATGTTTCTATATACAAGTAGTTGTGACTTTTTCTATGTGGTATATCGTATTATTTACTACGCTTTTGTTATTTAATATACATGTATTTATAAAACAAAGTATCTAATTGTGTACATTGTCATTATCATCAGACTTGTTTGATACATTTTTAATAAGTAATACTTCCTTGTTTTATAACGAGTTCACTAGATTTGAACAATGGAATTTTGTTTCTTGGCATTATTTCCTCTTTAAAAGAGGAATGTTTATACACACATTTGTGGAAACTTTAAACTTTGCAATGCTTAGAAGTACTTAATATAGATATGAATTCCAAATGCTGCTTTAATCAAAATGGATTGCTTTATATGAATTTATTATTACACCCACCATATTTGATTGTTTAACGTGTTTGTAGATATGTTATGAATTTGTATTGATGTGATTTTTTTTTTCAAATATACTTTTACCATAAAATGATATACAATTTATTTTTACTTTATATAGCAAGTTCATATATATGTATCTTCAATGTAACATGCTTTTTAAAGGATCTATTTTTGAGGCAAAAAAAACTTAATTAAAGAGATAAGTATTTCACAGTTTTGTAAAATGTGTTTTCTTAAGGGAAAACCTGATTTGAACACTTCTTTTGTTTAGAAAGATCTGGCACAACTCCGTTTTCACTCCTATGGGAGTACAAATGTCCGAAAATTTTCGAATATCTGGCATTTATTCTTTCCCATAACCTGACAGTAAATCTTTGACTAGTATTAGGAACAATTTCCAGAATTACAAGTTTTTCTAGGAAATTACTGAGTTGTGATGAAGGTTTTTATTTTAATTTCATTTCCTTTTATTTGTTGAGTGTTTATTCATTATTTTGAAGCAGACTAGCATTTTGTACAACTCCGTGTAATTAAGTTCTTTTGAGCTTTGAAATAAATGTTTTATCCATACTTAGCAGACTTTTTTGTTGGTCAGTACACCCATCTAAGGAAACTTTGTCATGGAAAAAGGATTGATTTTAATAGAAAAGATGTATGAAACACATACAGACAGCAGGAATATATACTGGTACATGTACTAAATATATATCCCTGCATATAATGAGATATCACTCTGACAGTGAAATTGATATCTTGGTACTAACATGCATTCATATACATGGTGCTAGGTTGTCCATGCCTTGAATGTTTGAGCAATATCACTTATAAGCCCTAGGTCATCTGAATTGTGCAATCTTAAGGAAGTTTTTAACTCTTCATTTTTGTATTATATATTTTATTATCTATTCTGCATAATTTATGTACATAAGATTTTGTTTGGGTATAAATTTTCTTCAAGAGATTTTTTTTTTCTTCAATATTTACATCCTTGAATAAATAAGGAGATTTTCTGTAGGTCAATTAGCCCTACACTTGGCAAAAAGTCCCGGACGGAATCATGCGCCCGATACTTTTCTAACAAAGTGAGTCCATCTAAGTCCTCGCTGATAATCAGGTCTATTGTTTGCTGCTTTATGCCAACATGCCGAAATTCTACTGCTAGCTCCTGTACTGTCATTTTAGAAATATCTTTTGACTGTCTGGATTTTTTCTTGTTAATGCTGATTTTGGGTCCTCGGAGTCTGTGGATATTTTGTTCGTTAATTAGTGGTGTAGAAGTACTTTCTTCAGAATCCTCACAATTATCGTCTGAAATGTCGAGGCTTTGCGATGACGAAACAGAACAGTGTCTCTCTTTTGTGTTAGATTCACTTGTATCCGAATACTGTTCTATATTTGTATTTTTAGAAGTAAAATTATCATGCGACGATGTTTTAGAAAACGCATCAGGGTCATTAGTCTCTGTTAATGTTAATATTTCAGCCAAGTTTTCAATGTGTATCTGCGTATCTCGTTTTTTATCCAAGTCAGCGTCTAGTGACTTCTTTAGATTGTTGTTTTCTTCCTTAGAATCATTCAACATTTTTTCTTCAAGGACTGTCTTTGAATTGTTACTTAAAAGATCATGACTGTCACATTTGCATTTTTTGGACGATTCTTCTGAAATTGGAAGGGAAGGGATCGGCAAACTCGAATTCGGACTATCGTCTGCAATTGGACTATCAGAATTTCTTCGACTTCGAGGAAGATCAGGAATGTCGCCAATTGGAGAAGTCTGAAAAATGCTTGGCGATAGTCGACCCCGGTCAAAGTTATGGCTTGATCGCCCAGGAATGCAGTCATCAGAGAGATGACCTGAATCTCTTGTCGAAGAACACCGAGAACTTGCAGGTGTCAGTCGCGGGCTGCCTTCCCTATGCCTGAATAAGTTCTCCATACTTGTATGAGAACCTGCAATATTTTGATAAACAGGATCTAACGTTTCTTCCTCAGATACATATTCTTCTATTGCGACTATTAGTGACGACTGGTCAATGATTACTTCTTTCGTGGGCGGCAATGGGGGAGGTGGGCGGCGAGGACTTGTTGAGTTCATCCATGTAGAGGGACGGCGATTAAATGCCTCTTTTGCGTTCTCTGAACTTTTTTCAGAGGAAGCTAGTGTGCTGCATCCAGGTGGAGCACTGTCTCGTCTGGAGGGCAAGCGGGGTACGTCATATGTTACATTATCCTCATATTGATGTGCTGCTTCCGAGAAAACTTTAGTAGAGGGACGCCTTCCACCTTGTCTGTCTGGTTCCATTTGTATTCCGCTGTCATACGAACCACCAGAACCCAAGCAAGGTTTGGGTGCTTGTTCTTGATTTGATTTTTGAATTCTTTCAGGTGGTTCCTCAAGTGACTCATTTGAACTATCGTCAGCTTTCATCTCAACAGATAAACATTTGTTCCCTAAGAAAATTTGAAGAACTGGTTGTTCTGGTTGTGGCTCATTAGCACCTTCTATATAGGATGGGTTCGAAAACTGATTGGTGCAAGCACAAGGAGTAGGACTGACATCATTGTGGTTGATTTCTTTCGAGAATAGTGAGAATCTATTGAGATCTTCATCACAGCTCTCTTCTGTGATCGAACCACTTTTGACGGATCGCATTTCAACATAGTCGGATGATCGATTTGCGGAACCATGGCTATAATCATCTGAGGTGTCGGTTCCAGTGGAAAGTTGCTTAGAGAGCTTTCTACGGCGTGCTACTGGTTCTGGTTCGACTGCAGGATCCTCGAGTAGGGGCAAATCAAGTGGTGGCTCATTGTGAGAGTCACTGGATATTGTGTAACAGACTTTGATATTTCTCATATAAATCGACCCTTTCTCGTTGCACAATTCCAAAGCTTGGTGATACGACGGCATGCGAATTAGATCATCGTTGGAAATAGCTACATTGAATTGTAGATCACATGAAGTAGGGATTTCTAGAAGAATATTTCTGGTGTTAGCTAACGTTGCGGCTACAACTGATTGCTCCAGATCTGCTCGCTCCAGACGAAGCGTCCCGGTGAAAGAACATGGTGTGTTAGGAATACGACCATAAACAAGACGGACAATACATGGGAAGCACTTCTTATCAACAATTTCACTCATCTGCATCACCGGACGATTTGCATCCCCAGTTGTAGTCGTTAAAGTGTAAAACAGTCCTTTCTGGTCGAATGGAAGAAGAATTTCTCGATCTGCATCATCCGTACACAACAAGTACTTTTCCGCCACGACTTTTGTTTTTCGGAAGATCTTACTTTTTCTCCTTTTTTCGCCAATATAAATCTTTCCTTTTCGCAAAACATCACCTGGAAACAGAGTGCGCTGTTGGTGGATAATGCTCCCATTTTCCCGGCGCACAATTTGCAAGGCCTGCACGCGACGCTCCCCTCCAATGAGGAAAGACTCGGTATTAGTTCCCGCTACTTCTGAAACCTCTTGATAGTGAGGAACAAAGTCGTCCACGGGACCGTTATTGTAGTTCTTCTTTAACAAGGAAAAGTACCCTGTATAAAAATAATTAAAGATTAGATATTAAAAAATTAAATGAAAAGAGTTTTTGTTGTGAGCATACCCTGCGGAAAAATTGACGAATCTGTTCTTAGTAGATAAGGTGTCAATACAGTAGAATATAATATTTTATGTTACATAGTTTAATTTATTCCATGATATAATTCTATACGGTAGAATATAATATTTAACGTAACACTGTTTAATGCATTCCATGATATAATTCTGAAGACAAATTACTTTAAAACTTGACCGTAATGAATTATTTTTTTCAATACAAATATATACTGCTCTTTTTGTTTAAAAATATAGAACTAATATGGTAAATCTCTACGTAATTCCTCCTATGGGGGTTTTAGAGGATCCTCTTATCATTTCCCCCCCCATTTTGATGCTCATTACAAGAGCATCTGCATAGTGCATACAGTATAAAGTGACACGAGACACAGATAGCTCATATGACGTCGATTAAGGAAGCATATCAGAGTTGTAAAGATAAACATGAAAAAAAATACCCCAACATTATCACTTAGTAATTTTCAAATTTCAGTACATTTATATTTAAGCATTATATGTTATCCTACATAATGATACATATCGATAGCTCTTAGTTTCTGAAATTTTACTTTTCATACACCAATTAGCCAAATAGTTTCAAAGTGGTTTGCGGTATAACTACCGATGTTATCGATTGCAAGTGTTTCAATTCCATTTATGGTGGTCGTTTTTACGATCTCTTTTGCACCCCAGGGCAAGATTTTTAATAGAAACATTCAAAAGTTTTATTCCTATAAATCATATGTACATAAATAATAAACTTTTTATATAATTGTTTGAAAATATGCTGTTAAAATATTTTTTTTAAAACAAACCTCTTGCTTTATTTTCTTATTACCTCTATAATCCTCGGGTATAAGAAGCTGTTCGCCTACATCGTGAAAGGCTCGTGACGAGGGGTCTATGTAAACACTTCTAGCGCTGATTTTCTTAATGTTTCTACTTCTGTACAAAAGTAAAGGCTGTCTCAGATCAAAGTTAAATCTGGTTCTATCCACAGGGACGGGGCTTTTTGAGGCATCACAAACGACCACCACAGGCAAAGGAAAATTTCTCTTTATATCCGACAGAGAAGAAGTTCCAGGTTCAAATTTTAAACCCTCGAAGGAATGCTCTAATTCCATTGTTTATTAAAAATCCTTACAAGGGAATATTTTCTCTCCTAAACAAAAATTTTTTATCTTTCTAAATATTTCCCCGACTCCGTCGCTCAGGAAACTTGTCCTTTATATTTGATATAACATTTCATGCGAATCAGCGCGCAGTTTATTTCCTCCTTTTTAATGTTGCCAGCGAACTTCCTCTTTAAGAACAACATCTGCATTAGCTGAAAATTTCTAAGTAATAATCCGTTTATCACATTATCTTCGATATTTATTACGGATATTCAAATTCCTTGTGATATCCAATACAATAAAGATTAATTATGCTTCAGTCCCCGCTTGTTCCCATGTCCTCCTCTCGAGGCCACAAAGTTCATAATGTTGCACTGTGTCACTGGCGTGTCACAATACAACACACACACTGACTAGTTTGGAGGAATCTAATCAAACCCGATATAACCACAACTTCACAAAGTAATAAAATTCATTTTTTAAACAAAATATTTCCCTATGTAGTTTGCTGTCATTAGTGCGTGATGCACACATGTGTTTAGTAACGGTGCATGTGACAGTATATATATAAATAAATAAACCCAATTCTCACAAATGCACCAGCAATTATACGTGAGTAGGAATCCCACTTTATTATTTCCTCTTATTACAGTAAAAGCTTGCAAGAAGATTGAAAGTGATGAAGTGTTCATTTTAGCACTTTTCCCTTTAAATACAAACTCTTTTATTGTTTGTGCACTTGCTACATTATGATAAACGAGGAAAACTGCCTATGTGGAACAGCTCAGTGTAAAGCATGACGGTCTTTGATGGGGAACTTTGTTACAGACATTTCTATACATAAGTTGTTATGTATTCTACGAAATTTAATAAACTTACTAAACGCTTAAAAAAGGGATTCAGAAAATGATACTTTGTCATTTGATTCGGGTACTCGTGTCTCTGGTTGCATAAGTAATACTCATTATTGACAAAATGGATAAATGTATCATTATAATTGTAATAAAACCATTTCAAAGTGAAGATTATGTGTAAAGTTACGGTCCTGAAGAGCTCTACAAATATACATCCTTGAACATGAAAGTCGTAAAGTAGATAAAGAAATGACTAATGGCGTTTATATTGTTTATAATTATTTGTCATATATAACAGTATGCGTCATTAACTTGCACAGTGACAAATTCCAAAGTACTCTTCGTCAAGGACGCAATTGTCGACAGCATGGCTATCCGATTTTGACAAACCTATTCCACATTATTTATCTCTATTGTTTTAGATCTGATAAGTAAAAAAATAACAGCACAAATGTCTCCGCCCTTAAGTAAGTGTTTGTTGATCTTCAATGGAGATGGGCGAACATAGCGTGCAGAAAGCCTATAGCTTCAAATATATAAAAATCATGTTCAGTTTGTGAATTCAGTATTCAGAGTAAAGTTTTCATTATTGAAATGTATGAAATTATGATAAACAAAACTTTTCTGAGGAAAATTTTCTCGGAAAATTTATTCTTTTATTAAAAAAATAATGTGATATTCATGGGGGTTCGAACCCTAACAATAAAAATCCTGATTATCATTTTCTTTCGAGACTAGCACGCTAACCACTAGACTACGCAAGATCTGATAAATAGTGGCATTTAAATCATGTTTGTGATATGACCCTTGACTTAATGGACTTCAAGTATTTCTCGGAAAGATGCGAATGTTGTGTCATAAAAGTGTATTTTGAAGGTATAGTGGGTCTTTGCTCCATATTTTAGGAAACCAAAAAATGTATATTTTTATGCAAACTTCGAGGATTAACTTTCAAAAAAATGGAGCGAAGACCCACTCATATCGAAAAATAGTGTTATAGTATGAGAAAATGACGCTTTTTGCCCTCTTTAGTGTGTGTACAATATTTCATATGCAAATAATTTCAATCTTTGTGTGATTTTTGCAAATTGTAGAGATTTTACATAAAGTATATTTTAATATTAGATGAAATATCAAGGAAAATGTTGATATAATTGAGATTTAATTTTTCACCTTCATGTTTGTCACACTATATGCTTTTCGCTCGTCATGTTCATCTTCTTTGGTAAAGATTTCAGACAATGGTTAGAGGGTTGTCTAATGGCTTTAAGCTGCCACTGAAATGTTGAGAAAATCTATGCCGACATAAGTGCTATTACATTTTTACGGGAAATGCATGTAATATTACACTTGTTTAGAACCATAAGGCTACACAATGAATTGCAGAAAAATGCAAACATTCTATTTTTTTACCCACTACTTGTTGTCTTGTTAAAAAGGTTTACAATGTCTGATTTAATTAAACTATAGGTATATCTAAAATTGCAACGAATCTCAGCTTATGCAATGTACTAATTAAGTATACATAATTTGAACGTTAAACATCGCACTTTTCACGATTGAAACGATCTTAAATGAAATGAAATTACTTACTATTTGTTTGTGTCTTGGGGTTTTTGTTTGTCTTTTGTCTTTTAGCTGCAGAACTGTAGTCTTAACCCCCCCCCCCCCCAAAAAAAAAAAAAAATATATATATATAGACCGGAGAGCTACAGTGCCATCCATAGAGAAAACTGTATATTTATTGCACATAAACAGTTGCACTCGGTTTGGGATTTATTTCTCCAAATTCTTACTTCAACTGCACAAAAGTTCGATTTCAAAGAATTGCTTAGACCTCTATCAACTACTCTTGTATTGACATCTGCAGGAAGCGCACTGGACCGAATTATCTTGCTATCAATAACGGCAGTATAAATAGACAAAGTATTTCAGGTCCAGGAAGGCAATTAACAACGGTTATAAGGAACATTTCGTTGTGGTAAAGTATAATAAGGAATATATGAAGAACACAGGGTTAGTAATATTTGGAGATGGTAGTTTAAATATACGGAGAAATAAATCGAGAAACAGCGTGTTTTTTTTTTGTTTTGTTTTGTTTTGTTTTGTTTTTTTTTTTTTTTTTTTTTGTGCGCTAAAAAAACACACCCCTTTTTCAATGGGTTGAACTGCAACTCTTTGGTCGTCCATACTAATTTTTCTCAGACCAGAGAGCTACAGATCTGCAGCTAATTCTATGGATAAATGTTGATGTGTATTGCATAGATAGATGTTGATATGTATTGCAAAGGATATATGTTGATGTGCATTAAATGGATGATAAATGTTGATGTGTATTGTATGGATAAATGTTGATATGTATTGCATGGACAGATGTGTATTGAATGGCTGGCTTTTGATGTGTATTGACAGAAATTGTTGTGTATTATATGGGATAGATGTGAAGTGTATTGATAGAAGTTGATATATTTTGAAAGGATAGTTTTTGATACCTTTTGTTTTTATAGGTGCTGATGAAGTGCGATGTATCTGAGTATACTTGCTCATTGTAAGAAAGTCTACATATAGTTTATCTTTGACTTATTTTATTGAATTAATTCCATAAAAATTGAAAATACATAATAATAAAGTATTTGTGCTCAATGATCAATATTTACATTCAAGTACATTTATAAATCTGTAAAATGATGATAATCCCCTAATATTATTTACTTACTGTTCCAGCCTTATTATGAATAATGAAAAATGCATTGTAATATAGCTTATACTCCAGTAATACATTATAAGTATGCTTACTTTATAATCTCTTATTAGATTTGATAAATTGATAAACATATGAAACATTTCACTGTTTGGTAAGAATTTTCTCTCAACCGAGTGTCGACTTCAAACACAACACAAATGTCATTTAATTTACAAGTACATTTCTTTCAGCATTGTATGATGGACTTTTGATGAAATAAAGTTTAAGTGTTTTTTGGTCTAAGATATAATGGTTCCCATCCAAGTCCACTATACAAACAAAAAGTTTTATGGAAGAATTCACTCTTGTCCCCAAGAACTCTCCCGTGATAAATATACATATGCATGTACATTTGTCATATCCTTTTATTTCTGTCATTTTAGACTGTCGCTATTATCATCTGTATAATACGATTATGACAATAAAGTCCTTGGTTTGACATACCAGTACAATTTGTATACATCAATATAGTATTGTCCCTACACTCCCAATAACTATCGATAGTCATTCACTTAATCATTTATATTGTTTTCTTATATTTCTTCAACATGCATAAAATTAAACTCTTACATGTTAGTGGCAGAGAATACATGCGATTCAGTATTCTGCCTGTTGGCTACACAAACAACTTAGCTGCTTGCCACTTTGTAACACTTGGTACAAACACTTTCCTCTTGGGTATACAAGCAACTTGGTAATACATGTTACTAGCACTCACCACTTGTCACAAACTACATGTCTCCTAGTCACCCTGACTATCTGTGATCACTTGGTCACTATGATAAAGTATAAAGCACCCTTATGCGCACTTATACCAACTAAACTATGATCTCCATGACTTTACTTGACAATAATTCATCAACTGACAATCAGGATACCACAATATTTACACATACTCGGCGTAAGTGGCTGTTTTGCTACGTAGATAATCTTTATGTCAATCTCTTATAATGCTTTACAGGCAATAATCCGACTTTGAGCATGCTTTGCTCATTTAAACCAAATATTTATTTTTATTTAGTTTCTATGAAATTAAACTCTTACATATTAGTGGCAGAGAATACATGCGATTCAGTATTCTGCCTAGTGGCTACACAAACAACATATATAACATTCTTTCTTGTATTCTCATTCACTCAAATAATCTGTTAATTAAATTATATACAAGGATTTCTTGATTAATACAATTTAGCAAAAAGGAGTAACTCATTTAGTTCAATTATTACAATTTTGAAATCTGTTTGCCTCCTAGATACATAGGAGTAGAGAACAGGCACATTTATTTATATTTATACATATACATTTATATTATTGCATTTAGTTTATTTGCTTAATACTCAGAGATAGAGGAGAAGATTTTCAAAGAATTAATGCATTTTTATTATAATTATTCGACACAATTACACAAGAATCCCTGATCCAGCGGCAAAGAAATTCACAGTTTTCAAAGAGGCCTCCTTGCTCACCATAACTATGCATTTGGTTTGTTTGCTTAATACCCAGGAACAGAGGAGAAGATCTTTAAAGAATTAATGCATTTTCAATATATAATCAACAGGACCCCGCCCTAAAATTAGAACCCCTGACCCAGGGGGTGATGAAATTCACAATTTTAGAGATGGCACCCTTGCTCATCATAACTATGCATTTAGTTTGTTTGCTTAATACCCAGGAGCAGAACCCCTGACCCTGGGACCATGTATTTCACAATTTTGGTAGAGGACTCAATGCTTATTACAATCATGTCAATAGTTTGACTTCTTGATGTTCAGGAGTAAAGGAGAAGATTTTTAAAGATTGCACTAATTTTGATGCTTTTAAATTACTTTTTCAAAGTAATTATATTTTCAATTACTTTTTCTAATATACTGTTAAGAATACCTAAATCTTTTTCATATTGTGTTATTTACTGTATATTTCAGTAAATTCCATTTTACCCCAAAGGGCAGATCACTCTAGCTAAATAAAACTACAGTAGAATCAACACTCTATAGTGAGCAGTGTTTACAGCTTCCTTAAGATCAAATATTCGTGTGCATATATGACGACAATTTATTTGAATGAGATAAAGTTTAAATGAGTTGAATCGCCGGCGCCTAGGAACGCATTTGAAGGCCTGTACATGTGGCGGTCAGACGGTTATATCGCCGGTGGCCAGATAGCTCAGTTGATAGAGCACATGACTAGAGATTGAGGGGGCCAGGGTTCGAATTCCGGTCTGGTCCGTCACATTTCTTTCTTCTCCTGTTACACACTTTTAGACACACGGCATACATGTACATACGATACTTTGAAACAAAGTACAAAAACAATACAGAATATAAATCGTACAAAATGTCGGAAATTTCAAAACAATTTAGTTGATTAACGTCTCATTTCACTCTGTTTATTTTGTTTTCTTATAAAAGGCAGGGGTCACATAAAAACTAAATCCATTGAGATTTTGCGAATTATCTAGAATGTAAGACATAGACAGGTTGAGGTCCTAAAACATATCCATTCATATTTAGGTAAACGCTTTGAACCTTTGCTTGCTGAGTTTTAACAATGCATATATAATGTAGTGAACCTCAACATGCAGTATATGGAAATTGCGACAACATATTGCTTAAATGTAGTTTTACATCGAAAAATAAAAAAATAAAAATAAAATCTGAAATATCCACAAATATTACAATTATTTAAAGTTTACAATATTTGTCCATGTATTTTGAAATTTTTCATGTCGGAAAAATTTCCCCAAGCGTTGTATTGAATTATTTCGAATTTTAGAAAACTACACAATGAGAATACTTCAATATTTGAGAAAATCTAGATATTGAGACCATAGTCCTGTTATAACACTGTTCTCTACCTTTCTATCTATCAATCGATCAAATTTTTTTTGACGAATGCATTTTCTGTCTATTTCTTAGAAAACAAGATGTTTTTGTAAAACACTGATGACCCCGTATCATAGCCACTTTGAGCTGATTTTCAAAAGTTAACCAAACTCTAAGCAAGCTCATGACGTCAAAAATAATGATACCAAAAGAAAGGACTTGTTACAAGGAATACACATGTGAAATATGAAAACCCTAGCAACAACTGCATGTTCAAAAGTTATGGTCAAGGTTTGATTTATTAAAAAGTAGGTCAAACTCCAAGGTCAAGTTTACGAAGTCAAAATAATGGTTATATAAGAAAGGTTTGTCACAAGAAATACACATGTGGGATATGGAAGCGTCCATGAGGTTAAAACCACACCCTCCAGCGTGATAGAACGTAGCAACTGTCAACATTACTTGTTGTTATACCCTTATAAATATCTTTCTATATATCTATTAAAGTAAATGTTTTTTTCATCGGTCTAATAATTTCATTGTTGACCGGTCTGTCAGTCCAACATAAGAATTGTTAGACCGCAACGTCACTGCTACGTCACAGGTAATTAGTCATCGTTCAATATCGGCGACACGGAAATCCCCCATCCCCTAGAACTGCGCATGGTCTTCTTTTTTCTCTAAACGGGGGACACAAATTCTCTGAATTAGCTTGTTATTTTAGTGTTCTATCTTAGGTGAGTCGTCCGCGTAGCGCATTGGTTAGAGCATTTGCTCTAGAGTCGCGGAGTAAGGAGTTGATCCTTACGTCGCGGGTTCGAATCCCACTGTGGGACGTGGAGACCGGCCCTTCAGATGAGACCGTATAAACCCAGGTCCCGTGTCGCAGCACGAAAAAGATTCCTCACTGTTTAATGGCCCTAGATGCCGAGTATAGGTCAAAATTTTAAGCTCTCCACCGGCAAGTGGTGGCGTGTCAATATGAGTGAAAAATTCTCGAGAGGGACGTTAAACAACAATAAACACACAATCTATCTTAGGTGAAGGGTATAACAAAACAGTTATAGACTGGGGTTCGGGCAACATATGATTTGTTGGACATGAAGGTGAAAACATTGTCCTTGGCCTGCGGCTTCGGGCAACATTTTCACCTTCAGGTCCAACAAATCATACAGTATGTTGCCCTCATATCCAGTCAATAACTGTATAATGATGGGTGATACTCCAAAACAAAATGTTGACTGCGCTCAATTTACATGATTTTTGATTCATCGAGAAACGGTTGGTTTAAAAAATTGTTAAAGAATACTGTTACCTCTGAATGATATCATATAACTGATAAACTGTAAACGTACTTTTATTTTCGCAGAATCACAAGTTCTATTCAATTTTTGCGTAAAAAAAATTGTGACCGCTTACATAGAGTAGATTAATTCAACGAGAAAAAAAATACCTCTACAATATTTCAGTGAACTCGCAATAAAAGACACCACAGAGTCTGCAACATCTGTTTCATATTCGGATGTTTTACTTACTATAGACGATAAGCCAACTAACACCTAAATTGTATGACGAACGAGATGACTTCAGCTTTTCCATCGTCAACTTTCCTTATTCCACTATCACCTGCATACGGTGTTTATGACTACGAACTTATTCGATACTAAAGAGCATCTCTGAATACGATCAATTTTTAAACCGAGACAGGATACTGACAAATATGTCGATGTTACAGGGATTTCAACAACTTCGTTTAAAGCCAGCATTTCGTAAATTCTATGGTCGTTATAATGACCTTGATAGCAAATAACCTGTCATTTGAATGATCGTGTTTTGATCGACATAATTATTTCATGCCAATTGTTAGGCCTTTCTTTTTATACTAAATTTGACTACAGATTATTCCGTCTACCTGATCAATACATAGGGCTCACGGTGGGTGTAACCGGCCGACAGAGGATGCTTACTCTCCCTAGGTCCTAGGCACCTGATACCATCTCTGGAATTTCCGAGGATCCGTATTTTATGCCCTGTTCACAGATGTGTGCCTGTAGTTTTTTTTTTTTTTGGGGGGGGGGTCGATCGTTAATATCATAAAAGAAATACATGATTTTGACGCATAATATGTCTCTTTAAGCAAGAAGTAATGTGAGTACTGGGCTCATGAAATGATATCCCCATTCCCATTTGAATATATGGCTATGTGCTTTTTCTTTTGCTATGTGAAGCCCAAATATCTGTCCGATCGAAACAAAAAATACTATAGTAGGTGCACAATGGAACTATGCATTAAAGATTCTGTGAAAAAAGTCTCAAAAATTATTCAGTGGTATCTATAGGAGGAGTTGCGGATAAGAGATGGGTACTCCCAAGTAATACGGAAGTGCGGACGGACACGCTTTTAAGCGGAGGATACAAAAGGGCAATTAAATTAAACGTTCGTATTTCAAGTTTATATTGTTACTTTTTTGTTGAAGTGTACTCCAACACATTACCAAAGTCGCTAAAAAAGAAGAAATAAAATCAAAAGAAAGGAAAATGAAAAAAGTGGCATATTTTTGATAAAAAAGAAAATAAATGTTAAAGATCTTTAAAGAAGCTTGTCAAATTGCTCTGAAATGCTAGAACGAATACGACGACAAAGAAAATCTAATAGGCAGCGGCATGCGGAATAACTCGACACAGTGTACAAGATTTTTAACTGAGTGACGCATCCTTAATTGAATAGCTCTCGTTTCTTTTTTTACTGTAGTGACACAAAACATTAAACAGTCACAAACGATAGGGTATTAGGTCCTTTTTACAATACCTTTAAACCCCACCATGACCATAGGTTAGGTAATAAAATGGCGAAACGGAAATAAGTTGCAACTGAATATGACAAAAACAGTAAAGGTAAGCCTGCATTTGCAAAAAGCAGGAGTGATTAGAATGATCTATTTGTGTACTTCATTTCAGAATTTCATTTTTTTAATGGCCTTTCTGCACCTTGAGGAATTTGCTGAATGATAAGAATGTTTCTCGGATGTCTAAATTGAATAGTACGTACATTTCCTATTGCCGACCTCTTTTATACTTTTCACGTAAGGTGTCATGAGTATTTCAAAAGGCATCAAAATTTAATTTAAATTATTTATAGACAATGCGTGAAATAATCAATCGAATCTTGATGTCATGCAAACAAAGGAGATTATTCATGCAGAATGCATCCGAAGGTCAGGGGTTTGGGCAGTGGATATTGGCCCAAGTAAGTCGACAAATGACATTTGCACCTAAATGTATTATTTAGAAGAGAAAAACCAAGTTGACAGATTTTTCCATCTCTTTTTTAAACACGTATCTGAACACGTCTTATATGTCTTTGTGATAAACACTATCGATAATTTGAGTATTTCCTCCATTAAGTGGTCCAAAATGCTCCAATGACGATTTGCTGGACGGCTAGGTAATAGTATACAGGTATATTCCGCAAACAACTCTTTGAATTGACAAGAATCAACAGTGCATCAAAGAAATAAAAAGCCTTCTATAGTTTGATTATTTACTACATTGAACAGCATTCATTAAAATTCAATGCGCTTTACTTTTAAATATTTATTCATATCCATGAGAAGCGAGCATATTTGAATAACAACGTAATTAAATGTATAACTTTATGTAGGATCCATAACTACATACGAAAAACATGGCGGGAGCTGATAGAGATCTAATGAACGGGGAGGATGATCCCAAATTTGTTTGGGAAAAGCAGCCAAAAACATTACATGAGATATTAAAAGAGGATAGACTTCCGGTAGTGGTGAGGTTAAGTACAGACAACGTCTTATCTTCTGGTAGCAGTTCAGCACGAGATATCCACAAGCCTCTTCTCCTGTACAAGGAAGTGAAAGGTCGAAAAATCTACGGCAAAAACGTCACTTCCGTTGACGTATTGACAGGTGCCGTCTGTCGAGAGGATGGCCCAGTGGTAGTTATCCCAGAAAAATATCCTGGTAAGGTTTATATTACGTCAGTGTTATCCTTTTTTTCGTATTTTGACTGCCTTTTTTTCTTTAAAAATGATTCTTCTCTATTGTACACCTCTATTTCTTTTACGTAAAACGCAAATATGGCTTAGCACAAAAAAATGTTTCGTATTATGCACCAATATAAAACACTGACTGCTACAGTTGAGTCCTCTTTGACAGGATGGTTCCGTCTTATTGACGACCTGGATAAACCAATGACAACTGTCGCCAACGTTGCTCGAATCATGCCTATCAGATTCCTGTGTTGTAAACCTGTATCCGGGTTCTTGAACATCCAGAAAGGCAGCAAAAGTAATCCAGATGGATTGTATGAAAAACTTTCAATTAACCCTGGTGTTTACAATGTACTGAATATACACGAAGACTTTGTAAGATATATTGATAAAAAGAAGACAGTTAAAATTCTAATGCGATGCTTGAAGTGTTCCGACAATGATGAAACGGAATTCCTTCTCCCTTTCGAATCCACCGGGTTTTTCTATCTTATTGAGTCACGGAAAACAACGTCCAAACGGCTTAATGCGGAAAAGTGTGGCTATGTTTATTCTATACACAGTATGATGGAAGCTGGATTGTCGAAGGATGTTATACTGAGCCTAATGCATGGGAGGCCCCCCGCCACTCCATGCGGATTTACAAGTGTGCTTAAGATATGTGACATTATCAAGGACCATACAATAGTAGCATCTACCCTCTCAAGTACTCCCAAGTTACTAGAACTTCCTATTGGACCGACACCCAAATTCGTCAAGGCAACAAACTTGGAGGAAATACAAAATCACCCCGTGTATGAGAAAGTCCAGCATCATTTAGCTGATAATGCAGACTCTTACGCAAACGAGATGAAAGTCCGACATAACTACAATATTCAGTCCGCTAGAGATGGCCCGGGTGTACCAAGACTTTCAGTGCCTCCGAATGGCGCGAAAACACCGAAGCCAAAAACACCTAAATCTTAGCCAACAGAAGTTTGTCCTGTTTTAAGTTGTTGACGCAAAATTGACATACTACTAGTAGATGATTGTATATAACGTTTTCGATATTAAATACATTGTGGTAATCAGCTAGTCCTATTTAGCACTATACAATTTACATGAATGTATTTTTGAAAATAAAATTAAATGTATTGATAAGTGAAATCCAACTGGTTTTTGGAGGGGGGATGTTGGCGGTGGCGATTGAAATGCCTTCACCCCCCCCCCCCTTATTTTAGTGATTGTTTGATAAAAACTCTTTTGACCATTTTTAAAGGAAATTCGAAAGTGACAAAGTTGAAAAAAAATACCAGAATGGATTCTTTTTTGTCAAACTACTCATCAAGTTCATTCGGATGGTATATAACATTGTATATTTTCTTTTTCTAAATAGAGATACATGTATATTTATATTTTATAGGACAGATATAGATATTGAAGGGCCATCCTTAAATTTTTTTTCGGTAACACGACTCATCATTTTAGATGTGAGTAGGTAGACAGGTTTTTTTTGGAAGACGAATGGAGAATGATTTAAATATAGGTGGTGTAATTTGAACACCAGAATCCTATCATTCAGATTTCTTAAACTTAAAAGAATTGCATAATCTTACTGAATCATTTGAACAATTGCTGGTATATTGCAAGTAATTGAGAGAATTCTAGCGGTTTTAAAGCACACATCTTAATGGTTTAAGTGCATATGACCCATTTCTGCAATCATCAGGGGTCCACTTGAACCTCATGTCTCATTTGTATTTAATTTTGCTCTAAACATCAGTTCACCAATTCTTTAAACTAAATTTTACTGCAATCATAGGAGGATTAACATTCTTTAGTTCATCAAGCTACATTTAATATTTCAATTCTTGTCCTTTCTACTACTCTCTCTCTCTCTCTGTCTCTCTCTCTCCATTTTCTCCCATTCAAAATATGACATACTTTTAAAAACCATTTTAATGTGAATTGATATTCAAAAATGTAATGCAATTCATATTTAACAAGAGGCCCATGGGCCTTAAAGCTCACCTGAGTAACTTTAGCTCTGCTGTTCTTCACCAGATACTCCCTTGTAATACTCATTGTGGCCCCACACTATCCCAGGGGGCCATGATTTGAACAATTTAGAATCTAAACTACCCCAGGGAGCTTCCACATAAGTTTCAGTTTTTCTGGCCCTAAGGTTCTTGAGAAGAAGATTTTAAATATTTTTCCTGTATGTTTCAATGTAAAACTTAGATTCCCTATTGTGGCCTCACCCTACCCCCGGGGGTCATGATTCGTAAAATTTAGAATCTACACTACCCCAGGATGCTTTCACGTAAGTTTCAGCCTTTCTGGCCCAGTGGTTCTTAAGAGGATTTTTTTTTTCATGTAAATTTCAATGTGAAACCCCCGGGGCCATGATTTGAACAATTTAGAATTTACACTACCCCAAAATACTTCCACATAATATAGAGGTGTTGTGAGCGTAGCGGAAGACAACTCTGGATAGAGAATGCGAATAAACTTGACGTCAGCATTAAATTATTAACTGCAAAAGCTACCATCAGACCATTATAGCTCTCTCCTACAGAATGGGAGAGGATCGTACATTTTGGCCGTGGTTTGCGACGATGCCATCAGACTGATTTCCTATGATGACGATGTTCAGGAATTGTTTGGAACTCATTTTCCCAGACGCAAAGAGAGTCGTCGTGTGTGGCTGTTTCACTTAAATTAATGAACAGGTTTACATCTTGTAGTATTATTATTAAAAAAATCTTTATTTGGTCTCCTTTGAAAATCCTTGAGTATATAGTATAACGATTGCATTTGAAAAAAAAATCTTTAATTCTGTTTGTCCAATGGCGGAAGAACACCTTCGTTATTTTAAGGTGTAACTTCCCTCTGATAAGAAGGGTAACTTTTCGAGGAAATCATTCTAAGCAATCCAATGAATTGTCTTGCCAAGTTTAATAACGAGGACCATATTACAGTCAACTCATTCAAATCTGACCAATCGTACAAATATTGATTTCTATTTTCTATTGCCAATATTTTTATTAATTACTTATAATAATTTACCCAAAACATTTATACTTAAAAAGAGGGATATTTCACCTTAATTAACACTATCAGAATATGATAAACATTCTTATATAAACATCTCATTGGTCATACAACTCTCCTATCATAGGCACAAAGCATATAAAATGGCTCACACGTTGGACTGTCCTCCAATCACAAGTTTCGGTCAAGGTGTGAATTTATAAATTTAATGAAGGATATACACGACTGTAAAATCAACAATATATATCGTAAACACTGAAATATAGTAAAGGGTCCTTTGAGAGAAATTATATTTTATTACAGAAAAAAAGAAACTTAGTGAGTTTCAGTAGTATGAGTGTAATAGCGTGCGTGTATGTGAAAGAAACATCTTCACGCTATTACACAGTGTAATTAGTAATAAGTCATCGTGCAAAGGTCATTATGATATTCGTTATATATATATATATATATATATATATATATATATATATATATATATATATATATATATATATATATATATATATATATATATATATATATATATATATATATACTACACCTATTTCAATATTTAGCGTATGTATCGATAACCTAAATTCAGGCTTGAGAATGTAATTTTCCGTTGATCGTAATTTGATCCAAAATTTAAATATTCTAAGTTTCGTTGTAACAGCTAAATGAAATCGCTCAAGTTAAGAATAAATCAAATTGTTTGAAATTTTTCTTGCCAACACCAAGAATATTTTCGCAAAAGTTTAAATGCACCTTTTCGTTTTGTTTTGAAATTGCTTATGTGTAGATGTTAATTTCATGTAAAATGATGACGCACACATTAAATTAACTGTAAAAGTTACCATGACTGATTTACTATGATGACGATGTTCAGGAATTGTTTGGAACTCATTTTCCCAGACGCAAAGAGAGTCGTCGTGTGTGGCTGTTTCACTTAAATTAATTAACAGGTTTACATCTTATAGTATTATTATTTAAAAAAATCTTTATGTGGTCTCCTTTGAAAATCCTTGAATATATAGTATGACGATTGCATTTTTTAAAAATCTTTAATTCTGTTTGTCCAATGGTGGAAGAACACCTTTGTTATTTTAATAAACATTATCAGAATATGATAAATATTCTGATAAAAACATCTCATTGGTCATACAACTCTCCTATCAGAAGCCCAAAGCATAAAAAAATAGCTCCCACGTTGAACTGTCCTCCAATCACAAGGTTCGGTCCAGGTGTGAAATTTATAAATTTAATGAAGGATATATATGTCTGTAAAATCTACAATACATATCGTAAATATTGAAATATAGTAAAGGATCCTTTGAGAGAAATTATATTTTATTACTCCAAAACAACAAAGAGACTTACTGAGTTTCATCTTTTCAAAACTTGCCTATAGGGCTCACGTCAATATAAAATACGCAAACAATATATTTTTTTATGAAAATGATGATTCTTAACTATAATACAAAACGCATTGTATTTATCACAATTTCAAACATACACAATACATGTATATATATATTTATATTTATTATATGATTGAATAATTCCCATCTCTCTGATTGGCTGAGATCCAACACTGTTAGAAAAATACTACGTTATATTAACCTGCACGTGATCTTCCAGGTCAATATAAGGAATTATTTATTCTACATTGGACCAAAAATAGATGGGGAAATTCCAAATTGATGAAAATAGTTTTTGAAAGTTATTTCACTTGCACCTGACATCCACTAATATGAACATAAGATTAAGGCACATAGATTCTTGGGTGAGGGGTCGGGGGTGGGGTTGGGGTTACAGGAGGCCTGCCTCCTCTCCCCACCTTTTGAGAATGTTAAGTTTTAATTTAAATTTAAGGATAAAAATTTCAATGAAAGCCCCACTCCCCTCGAAAAGTTTATGGACCTTTACATCCCACCAAATAAAATTTTGATTTGGGAGAATTCTTTTCCTTTTTTATGGGGGAGGGGGGGGGGGGGCTAGATTTGTTTTCAGGTAAGTTGTCGATTTTTTTTCCTTCTAATGCCCCCTTTCTCAAAATCAATCCTATATATGTGCCTGACATTTACTTTTTCTACATTGCACCTAAACTAGAACTGAAAATTCCAAAATAATACAACTGGTTTTTTAAGCCTGTTTCTCTCCTATGTTCGGCTAGTACTTCAGTAGATGTGAACAAGTAAGATGGCACGGACTGCTTAATGTCCACCTTCGAAGTACAATATTCACCTCGCCCTTCGGGCTCGGTGAATGTTGTACTCCTGAGGTGTCTAAATCATCGTATTGACCTCAAAAACCAGCAATAATTGTATAGTATTCAATACCCCTTCTGAGGGAAATGATCAGGGGGCGTAAAACTCTGACTTACATGTATATTTATGACTTCATAACCTTTATATGTAAAAAGCACAGATGTTTAAGGTTTTCCATCCCTAATAGGACCTAATTATCTATCCTTAAATATCCATCAAGTATATAATACAATAATCAAAATTTTGTAAATTTCTTTGATGGAGTATTTTTATTTCACAACACCTTCAAAATGATGCCATAATTACAATATATGACCGTATATATATTTATTTTATATACATGTAAGTATATATATTTATATATATATTTATTAGATACAAAATATGGTCATTATACATTGATTACCTTAACAGAAATTGCATTGAAGTCTATGGAGACAAGCGATTTTTTTAAAAAAAAAAATTCAACTAATAAGAATATAAATAAATACTGAGGTGGAAAGATGCATTAAATCATTAGAAATAAAATGACAATTGAAAACATTTTTTTACAGTATAGATTTTTTAAAATTGATTTTTATTACTTAAACAAGAGGCCCAAGGGCCTTAACGGTCACCTGAGTACAATACAACAATTTAGAGGATCCATAAACTGATAAATGAAGCTTTGTTGCCCCAAAGCAAGAAATATAGTATGATTAGCATCAACAAAATAATTGGTCTAGTATCTATCTGTCCCCCATTTAACATTATTACCATGCAGACTATTAACAAAATGCCTATTTTTTAACCCCATATTATTACTTCTCACATTGGCCTCTCTTGGCCTTTGAAGAACATTTAAAAAGATAAGTTATTTTTGTCTCATTTTTATTCATCTATTATTTCCAAGTCTACCTGATCATTAAAACTATGAAAGTACTTTTTGTATTATACAATAAATATTCTTGCATAATTCTCTTATTCCATTAACCTTTCAAATACATTATTTACAGTGATTAAAGGTGAATGGCAAATGGGAATAACTTTGCACAGCAGAATACAAGTTAATAGAGCCCTGGCCAGGACCAATACACTTGACTAAATGGTCCAGGTGTTCAAAATTCTGGTAAAAATACCCTTGCATATTAAAACTTTTACTCTGTTTGCCTCGAATATGCCCAGAAACATAAAAGATTTTCAAAGAAATGCATTTTCACTATATTATTAAATAAATAAAGCACCATCCTTACACCAGAACGTCTGACCCACTGGCCATGAACTCACAATTCTGGAAGAAGCACCCTTGCTCATCATAACTATACACTTGCTTCTTTGCTTTATAACCAGTAGTAGAAAAAATATTTTGAAAGAAATTATGCATTTTCACTACATAATCAATAGAGCCCCCCCCCCCTTCACCAGAACCCCTGACCCATGGGCCATGAATTTCACGATTTTGGAAGAGGCATTCTTCCTTATCATAACCATGCACTTCCCTTGTTTGAAAAATACCCAGGAGCAGAGAAGAAGATTTTGAAAGAATTTATGCATTTTCCCTATATACATGTAATCAATAGAGCCCCGCCCTAACACCAGAACCCCTGACCCTGGGGCCATGAAATTTATAATTTATGAGGAGGCAGCCATGCTCATCATAACTATGTACTTAGTTTATTTAATATCCAGGAGCAGAGAAGAAGATTTTCAAAGAATTAAATGCAATTTTATTATATAATCAAAAAAGCCCCACCCTAACACCTGAACCCCTGACCCTGAGGCCATGAACTTCACAATTTCTGAAAAGGCAGCAATGCTCACCATAACTAAGTTCTTAGTTTATTTAATACCCAGGAGCAGAGAAGATTTTAAATGAATTAATGTATTTTCACTATATAATCAATAGAGCCTCGCCCCTAACACAGGAACCCCTGACCCTGGGGCCATGAAATTCACAATTTTGGAAGAGGCACTCTTCCTCATCATAACTATGTACTTAGTTAGTTTATTTAATATAAAGGAGAAGAGAAGAAGATTTTTCAAAGAATTAATCCATTTTCACTATATAATCAATAGAGCCCCATCCTAACACCAGAACCCCTGACCCTGGGGCCATGAATTTCACAATTTTGGAAGAGGCACTCTTGCTCATCATAACTATGTACTTAGTTAGTTTATTTAATACCCAGGAAGAGAGAAGAAGATTTTCAAAGAATTAATGCATTTTCACTATAAAATCAATATAGCCCCGCCCTAACACCAGAACCCCTGACCCTGGGGCCATGAAATTCACAATTTTGGAAGAGGCACTCTTGCTCATCAAAACTATGTACATGTACTTGGTTAGTTTATCTAATACCCAGGAAGAGAGAAGAAGATTTTCAAAGAATTAATGCATTTTCACTATATAATCAATAGAGCCCCGCCCTAACACCAGAACCCCTGACCCTGGGGCCATGAAATTCACAATTTTGGAAGAGGCACTCTAGCTCATCATAACTATGTTCTTATTTAGTTTATTTGATACCCAGGAGCAGAGAAGAAGATTTTCAAAGAAATAATGCTTTTTCACTATATGATCTATAGAGCCCCGCCCTAGCACCAGAACCCCTGACCCTGGGGCCATGAATTTCAAAATTTTGGTAGAAGGCTCAATGCTTATTACAATCATGCCAACAGTTTGACTGCTTGATGTCCAGGAGTAAAGAAGAAGATTTTTAAAGATTGCATTAATTTTGGTGGTTTAAGCCCCACCCCTCAGGCCCCAGGGGGGCAGGGACCATGAAATTCACAATTTTTGTTCCTCTTCACCCATAAATGCTTTATGCCAAATTTGGTTGAAATTGGTTAAGCGGTTTCAGAGAAGAAGCTAAAAATGTTCAAATGTTAACGCACCTCGCAAGACGACTCAGGTGACCTAAAAAAGAGTGAGATAACTCTTCAACAAAGGTCAAGGTCATAAATTAGGACACGTTCCATTCTTACATGCTAATAGGGTTCACCGCTAATAGAAATAAATGGGAATTATGTCTAAATATACCGAGTATTCTACCCGTACACATCTGTTATGTATTCAAATTTATTGAATCTGAGGCTATTAGGGATGGAATACCTTAAAAGAAAAAAAAGAATAAAGAAGATGGGTGAACAAGGCGAGCTAAATGCTTATACATTGTAGTGCAACAAGCACGAAGATGAAAAATTAAAATATCAATTGCAACAAAATTTTCTTTGATATTTCATCAAACATTAAAGTATACTTTATGTAAAATCTCCAGAATTTGCAAAAATCTCACAAAGATTGAAATATAGCATACACACTAAAGAGGGCAAAAAGTATCATTTTCTCATACTATAACAAAATTTTTCAATATGGGTGGGTATTTGCTTAATTTTTTTGAAAGTTTATCATCAAAGTTTGCGTAAAAAATATACATTTTTTGGTTAACAAAAACAAATTACACTTTAATGACACAACATTCGCATTTTTCCTGGAAATTCTTGAAATCCATTTAGTCAAGGGTCATATCACAAACACGATTTAAATGCCACTGCTCATCAAGAGTTGCGTAGCGGTTAGCGCGTAATTAAGTCTCAAAGTAAAATGATATTAAGGATTTTTATTGCTAGGGTTTGAACCCAACGAATACCACATCATTTTTTAATAACAGAATAATTTTTTTCCGAGAAAAATTTCCTCAGAAAAGTTTTATCATTATTTCATTAATTTCAATTATGAGAACTTTAACTCTAAATATTAAATTCACAAATTGAATTTGATTTTTATATATCTGAAGCTATAGGCATTCTGCACGCCTTGTTCACACATCTCCTTTCTCCTAGCTACACCCCCTTTCCCCCACTACTGCGCAAGAAAAACACCAAAAAAAAAAAACAAACAAACAAACAAACACTAAAAAAAAAAAACCCAAAAACACCCCCCCCCCCCAAAAAAAACCCCAAAACATTAAAAAAAAAAAACAAACAAACAAACAAAAATTCAAACGAACTTTTCCATACGAAAAAAATAGTGGATTATGAAAAAAATCTTGCATATATCTAGAAAACTTCTTTAGTACACAAAAACATATACCGGTATCACAAAGTATATATATTTAAGGGTTCTCTTTTGACATTAACCATGTCAAATAACATTTAAGGTATTTCAATCCTTTATCAAGTTTTTTTTGAGAAGTATATTTTAGATATTAACTCAAAACTGGAACGAAAATAGGGGGTCAGTGTGCATATTATTACGCAAAAGTATATTAAATTTGACCTTTACCTCAATTATATTTTATCAGATGTAAGCATAATTTTTTGTTACGTTTCATGAACTTGCCATATGAAATGCTTATTCGGCTTACTTTTTAATAGTGAGCGGCGCGAAGCGAGCTCTATAATGTGTAAAATCAAAGGATAATTGAACTGAAATCTGTGCATTTTCGTGTGAGACCTTCACAGAATTCTTTCGCTTCCACAATTCCATGCAATCAATTTCAGTATTTTAATAATTTCTTTCATCAAACTTTTTATGAATTTACAGTGCTGAGCGGTAAAAAAAAATGTCGTACAAAAAATGTCAAAAAAATGAAATAAAAAGTTGGGGCCAGTGATGTGAATTTTGAGATATGTGTCAAATTCTACAGGCTAAAAACAAAAGTTAATCTTATGTTGCCTTTTTCATTATATCTGCAAAAGTATGTTGAAAAAATGTATAAACTTTGTTCTCCTGCTATCATATGAAACCTACATTGAATAGATGCTTATACAAAATTTAAATTAATTTCTTGCAAAGTGAAATTAAAACCATCGCGATTGATACTTTTTGAGAAATCGTGAAATTTTAACACCGTGGAATTAAAACGACTTACAGTATTCTTAACAGTTTTAAATCGAAGGTCGCACGATTTTGCATTGTTTAATTCAAATATTTTATAAAATTTAAATTGTATAATTGATAATTTTGATATCAGAGGTTCTGACCTAACTTTTGAAATGCTGACGAGTGACGTATGTTAAAAGCATTACAGGCAAAGTACATGTAGTTCGCCTCGTTTTGTATGCGCACGATTATATTAATTGAACATGGATATTCAAATAACCTGTGATTAATTTTCGGGGGAAAGGCAAACAATTCAATAACAATTAAACAGAATACTGTTTTTAAAATTAGCAGTCTGTTGACTTTCGTTTAAGCTCAGTTAATTCTAACAATTTGAATATTCCGCGTGTCGGCATTGATTGGTCTGTGCTGTGAATGGAGTCACTATCCGACTCCATAAACCTGTCCGAGGGCTCCTCGTCTGCTAAACTAATGTTTGTTATTAAATCCAAAGTTTTCAAGCCCGAATCTTTGACCTTTGACTTTTTGGGATTGTATTGCACTTTCATATGATGTGTGTCCAGTTCTGACGATAATTTTATAAGCGATGAAAATGACAAAGCATATTTTTCACAAAGTTTCTGGGCGTCTTCAAATGTTTTCAAACCCTTTAATGGTTCTTCATTTTCAGGAAAACATAGAACACATGGCGAAGAAATCGGAATTTCTATTAAAACGTTTCTCTTGTTCGTGGTTGTACTGGCAATGATCAAATCCTCGGAGACCGTCTCTCTCAGAGCTATCATTCCCGTAAAAATACACGGAACAACCGGAGCCTTGCCATAAACTAGACGAACTATTGTTGGCATATCGAAGTCCGATAAAAGGTCTTTTATTCTGTATATACTTCTGTCATTATTGGCATCTTTTTCATACACGCTACTGAACCGACCCTTTGTTGTAAAAGGCAGAAGGACCTCTTTTTGATCTGTATCCGTACATTTTAAGTATGGAATTTCAATTGTGGTCCATTCTTCCATTCTCTTCTTTCGAACACTCTTTTCTGCTCGAGTCTCCCACTTGGCTGAGAGTGTGCTGTCAACTAAAAGAATCGAACCCGCCGGAATTTTTCTTTCCTTGAATGTTTGTTGCCCATTTTCTTCCACTATTCGTATTCCGGTTATTGGTGTTCGCGTGAAGATTTTTCTTGGCATTACCTTTGACACGTCCCCTACTGAGGAAAATACCTTCGATTTGCCAAAGTCTGCTGGGACTATTTCAAACCAACCTAAATAAAAATAAATCAATTGAACTTTGAACCAGAAAATTACATGCTTGCTAGATTTTTATGTATATTAAAATTTAATTTTGTATTTAAATCGTCTACATCTGTGGTTTCAGACTAGATCTGAAATTCTATAGTTGGCTTAATTTTTTTTCTCTCTCAATCTGAATTGAATTTTTTTTAGTTCTTCCACTTTTTCCTTATGCGGGAAAAATTCTACGTTTTTTTTTTGTTTTTCAAATATTCTGATAGCTCGCCCCTCCCCACTGTTATTGCTACGGGACTGATACGCTATATGCAAGAAAGGGGATGAACATACATTTTCTTATTCTTTGATATCGTTGATCACATAGCTGTAGGGACCGGGAGGCACGGGGCTTCCCCCCCCCCCTCCCCCATAAATTTGCATATAGTATACTACAGAAAACATAACTACTTTATGCCTGTACCCCTCGATAAAGTTTGATGATTTTTTTTTGCTTGTCCAGGAATATCTGCTTGGTAGTTCCCTCAAACTGAAAATGATTTGGCCCCCGCACCTCCCCAACTGAAATTGCTTCCTACAGGCCTGGATCATATATTATTTTTATCCACACATGTAACTCTTACTTGAGAAAAGGAATTTATACATATTAATTCATTTCAAAACATCTACACTGTACTACACTACATGTATTTTCTAGAAATCATATAAGGACACAATCTTGCACTGCTTATATACTCCAACAGTATGGTACCATTTTACCAACTTTTCTAAGTTGGTAAAACTTGTGTCCAATCCTATTGATTATGTTTCAATAAAATATGTTTAAATACAAAATACTCCAACAGTTGTTACAAAGTTATATACTAATCTGTTTAAAATTCCGTTAATATTGGTATTAAGGATTACTTTTTCAGTGTAAAAGTACATTACTATACATGTTTATATAAATAAAAAAATATCATGTTCTGTAGCATTATGAGCAGTCGTTGTTACAGAGCGTCGACTGTTGGACGAATGTTTTACATCAATACACTTATCGAAATAAGATCAATACCGTTACCTTCAAAATTATCAGGAATGATGAGTGTCTGTCCCACCTCGTAATACGGCCCACTGGCATCGTGGTATATGGTCCGTCCAAGAACCTGCTTTCTCTGTCGTCTCGTGTACATGTAGAGGGGCTGATCACAATATATAGACAGTCCAACAGGTAATGACTTGGTCTCATCAGCTGATAGCTTACAGACACATGGTAATTGAGAATCATCTCTAATGTCCGCTAGAACTTGGTAATCGGACGCCCAGGAGACAGTTCCGAGCGACTCCTCATTCTTGCTTTCGGAATTATCCGCCATACTCCCTCCACAAACAGGTTCTGGAGAGATGAGTCAATGATAAACAAATGAATGAAATACTTGTTGTCGTCGGAGTCAACGTATGGGCATGAATAGTCCTGTTCACTCAATCGTTAAAAACCGGTTTTCGTGTTCATTTATCCTTCCAACGTAACAAAAGTCATCTGTTTACCTACAACCGCGGGTTATTTAAATTCGATTACAGAGACAAATAAAATGTAACAAGATTGCCGCTACGGCGTAAAGGTACGGAAGCGTAATAGGGCCGCAGCAGTATCTTTTATTAATTTGTTTAAACAAATTACTAATTTGTTATAACAAATTATCAATTTGTTATAATAAATTATCAATTTGTTAAAACAGATTACTAATTTGTTATAACAGATTATTAATTTGTTATAACAAATTACTAATTTGTTATAACAAATTATCAATTTGTTAAAACAAATTACTAATTTGTTAAAACAGATTACTAATTTGTTATAACAGATTACTAATTTGTTATAACAGATTACTAATTTGATATAACAAATTATCAATTTGATATAACAAATTATCAATTTGATATAACAAATTAGTAATTTGTTATAACAAATTAGTAATTTGTTATAACAAATTAGTAATTTGATTTAAAAAATTATTATTTTTTACAAAATATGAAGGTGAACACAGATCTATGGAAGCCAGATCAGATCAGATCAGAAATCTTAATTTAAATCGGTTTTATGAACACGTTAAGCATAAGCTTTGGAGAGCTTTTGATCAATATGTTAATGTGGATTTAGATGAATTAGCAACTTAGATTAAAGCACTTTAATTTTTGTTTAATTGCAGGGTTTTTTTTTTTAATTTTTGTTTTGTTTTGTTGTTGTTTGTTTGTTTGTTTGTTTGTTTGTTTTTTGAGTCAGTTCCTTGGAATAGATTTCTCTGTTAGACAATTAAAAGAATAGCTGCATCCCAGGGATTATGTAGAAGAAATACAAAATGTTGGATCCTTCGAGAAAAATTCGAAGTTCCGGACAATTAAATATGATTTCAACGTCGTCCATTCAAATCAACACTTTTTTCAATGTCAACACAGGGGTCAAAATGGGAGAAGACCTATTTTTTCCTTCTTCACACATGTGTAATATTTTGTGTGTATTGTTATAACAAATTATATTGCTTAACGATTTCTTGTAAAATATATGAGTAGTCCTATATGATACAACCAGGATACAAATTAGAAATGAATTTGAAGAAACAACTGTCAAAGTTTTCAGCCAATAATAAGTTATGAAGGCTTTAGTGGGACTTCGAGGGCTTTTCCAAAAGGCACGTATTTTGATTATAAATATTACATACATACATGAAAAAAATTAATAAGGTATCTAAATTCAAATTTTACGAAGTACTACCCACTCAAGAATATTGTTTATTTTCGTTTTCAGAAAAGGTTATTACAGAGTGTTTATCAATTTTTCTATGATAATTTATCTACAAATTCATTTTTTATCAATGTTGCCTTTATTGCCCCCAGCATAAATTGGGGCCAAGGAGGTTCACCAGAGGAGCAGATTCAGGTTTATGCATTAGGAACGGCGGTTTAGTTTAAAATATATTTTATTCATGATACATAAACTGGATTGAACAGTAGGCATAAATCATTTGGTACATGTATAGAATGAATCGAGAGAGAGAGGGAGGGGGGGGGGGTAAAATGAAATAAAATAAAAGACATATTGAAAAAAAACATAATGAACATGTTGATTCAGGGTGGGAAAAATTCCCTCTCCAAATAACATGTCTTTGATAAGATATTTTTTCCTAGGATACGAACGGGGATGCAATGACCTGGTAAATGGGAGTCAAGGACGGAGCCCTGGTGGGGGAGGAGGACAAAATTCAAATAGAGCTCCTAAGAATAAGTAAATAGGGACCAAAGAATTTAATGCATTGTATCTTTATAACAATAATGTTTGACAGTGAAAACTCTAAATGCTAAAAGATGTAAATCCAGATTAACATATTGGTCAAAAGCTGTAGCTGCAGAGCTTGTACATTTATTATTTTCACAAATCCAACTTATAAAAAGATTTCTGATCTCATCTGGCTTCCATAGATCTGTATACACTTTCACTTTATCAAAATTATTAATTTGTTATAACAAATTACCAATTTGTTATAACAAATTAATAATTTGCTATAACAAATTATTAATTTGTTATAACAAATTATTAATTTGTTATATCAAATTGATAATTTGTTATATCAAATTAGTAATCTGTTATAACAAATTAGTAATCTGTTATAACAAATTAGTAATCTGTTATAACAAATTAGTAATTTGTTTTAACAAATTAGTAATTTGTTTTAACAAATTGATAATTTGTTATAACAAATTAGTAATTTGTTATAACAAATTAGTAATCTGTTATAACAAATTAGTAATCTGTTATAACAAATTAGTAATTTGTTTTAACAAATTAGTAATTTGTTTTAACAAATTGATAATTTGTTATAACAAATTAGTAATTTGTTATAACAAATTAGTAATCTGTATAACAAATTAGTAATCTGTTATAACAAATTAGTAATTTGTTAAAACAAATTAATAAAAGATACTGCTGCGGCCCTAATACGCTTCCGTATAAAGGTGTACAGTAGCTTCAATATCATTTGAAATTCTTCTCAACACTATATTATGTAAATATTATAGTGGTGGATTTTGATGGTAGCTTTTGGTGTCGGGACCCTTGCACTGTTTTAAAAATCACTATTAGTAATATGTATAGCTTTTCAAAAAAAAAGTTCCCCTGACTAAAGCAATAATTATCTACAGAACTCCACGTATAAGCGCGATAAGTAATAAACGTTTCCACCATTTTTGTGTGTGTGTGTGTGGGGGGGGGGGGGGTTTACCGCAAATTGTGAAGACTGTACAAAACACCTTGCATGATTTTTGTAAACATATTCCTTGTAATAAACCAAAGTGCCAAAGACTGGAGCCAAATACGTCGAATGATCAGAGCTATGCAATCAGAGCTATGCATGAGCTTTAAAGTTGGAATTACCAACTTTAAGTTTGAATTACCAACTTTAAAGTTGGAAAAGCCAAGCTGTATATTAGGATATTATCCTGATAACCCATGTGATTTTAACACAATTTTACTTCGAGATAACCGGGGTATTCGACATTACCGTGTTCGACATAGAGGGGTTTATTTTAATCATTTATAAAGCAAGTTTCTTCGGGACCGCGGCCTTACTTCGACATATCCGGGGTATTCGAGACATTCCGTGTTCGAGATTTCGAAAGTTTAGCTGTACCAACTTAAAAAAAAATATTACGTGGCACTAATACGCTTCCGTACATGTGGGAGATAATCCTTAATTTTGAAATAAATTTCTAAATTTTACCAAAACAATTAAATATATATATCCGTATTTTCAAGCTAGTACCGTAGTACTAGTAGTTTATCTCAAACAACAGGAGTACAAGTGCAGTATACAGTTTATGCATCTGGATAATATATTACATGATTTGAAGATTCTTCAAATGGTTTTTAATTAAATCAAGATAATGTAAATAAGGAAAACAAGTTGATGTAATTTAAATCAATGTAATATTAATGTTATATACATGTATTTATGCTGGGAAGTTGTGGACGTGTAAACTTACATGAATTATTTTCAAATGCTGACTGACGTTTTTCATACTATTTGTTAGGCCATTATTTTAAACACTGATTTGTATACGAATTTTTCCCCCGTTTTTCTCGATTATGACAAGGAGCACAACGGCGGGTGTGACCGGTCGGCAGGGGATACTCACTCCTCCATGGCACCTGATCCCACTTCTGATGTTTTAGGTCTGTGTTTGCTCTGCTCCCGATTTGTATTGTTTAAGGACATACGCAACGTACCTTACCTACTGATAATTTTTCAAGATATTCTTAATTTAAGATTATAGTGCCATCAGATGTTCATAGACAAAAAATCAGCATGCATTACCAGGGGTTTTGAAAAGATATCAATTGATGAAAATTCTTGTATACTTCAAAGAAAAATATTCAAAAATTACTAAACATATATTCTAGATATTTTGTTTATCTAAACTTGTTTTAGAAGAAATGTACAACAGCATATATAGGCATTAAAATGTAGCACACAGTTCCTTTAAATATTGGAACTCTTCAACTCCAGGGAAAAAGACAATAAAGTTCAAACTACGTTGCGTATGTCCTTAAATGGACTTTGCGCTTGATCACTGTTCGTTATCTCCATATTTCATTTCAACTGCACAGAAGATTAGAAATGCAAAAAAAAAAAAAAAAAAAAAAAAAAAAAAAAAAAAAAAAAAAAAAAACAGCTGAAAATGACAACTTCTTATAATACCAATTCTTATAATTCAAAATTAATATCTTTATGGAGTTTACATTCGAGCGTGTACTTAAATGCATGATTGTCTAAAATTTACTTTTTAAATAATTATACTATCATAATTTTGAAGACAAATAACAATGTTTTCAAAACTTCATATAAGAAATAAACAAATATGGATGTGCATGGTAAATTTAAAAGAAAAGGTATTCACAATGTATTAGATGCATAGGAATACGTATCACACCAGAAAATTTAACTAAATGTTGACAAAAAATTGTCATGATAAAGAAAAGTGCACGCAATTTTCTTTGTTGAAGTGGATGTCTTTATTGGAAAAAATACTTTCTGTCTGAAGTCAAAATTTCCATTTATTGCATGTCTTGGAAATAAAAAAAAAAAATTAAGGGAGCTCTCCACATCGTCACAACATGGTGTACTTTCGTTTGAATTGCCATTTTGGTCCGAAATGACCAGATTCTGTCGTGAACAAATTCTGTAACACCGATAGATCATGACGTATGCTCTGTTGTGAACGGATTTTAGCAACGAGAGTGACCAAGGTACCCTTTCATGAAGCATTAATTTTTTTATCAATAAACAATTGTTATGATAGACATGCAGAATGTGTTTACACATACATTACTACTGCATGTTTTGCGAGAGAGTATCAGAATTATTATGTAACAATACATCTGGCAAGTTTTTCTTCTTAAGAAGTTTTTGTCTGTTCCATTTAATCATTTAAAATC